ACTCAGTCAATGGATTGCCTCAAAAACGAACAACCCTTTCTCCTGTAAAACAAAATGAAACCAGAACGTCTGGAGAACTTAGATTCAGTAACTGATAACAGTCTGGGATTCCAGCCTCTGTGGCTTGGTCGTAGCTTACAGGGACAGTCATTCTAGGTCACAGGAAGTACAGGAAAGAGGCCAGTTTCTTTGGGAATCTAATTTCTCCCATCCCTAAGAAGCTGACATATAGAAAGTGTAATGGGAAGATGTGTGTACTGCACTGCTCATGGGGAGGCAGAAACACACCCCGAATCTCCATGCTGCAAGCCATGGTGTATTTTAAAACAAAATACAGTACTGCACTTTGTAACAAGTAGCCACTCAGGGCTTCTCGTAACTGTAACAGGGACAGACGCTCAGATTCCTGAAAAGAGCTGTGAGTCATGCCACTGTGGGTAGAGATCTGATTGTTTTTCTTCCAAACCCAGCATTTAAATGACTTGTCTAAATATGGGCTCCATGTACATGGGTCCTGTGGTCAGGTCCGCCATGGCCAGCAATGCGAGTCTTTCCGCTGTGCCGTTGGGAGTGGGTGGGGCCTGCACAACATCCCCTGCCTGCAGCCACCACGCTGGCAGGGGCTGAGTGGGTCCCCGGCTGAGCTCTGGCTGAGTCCAGGGCGTTTATGGAGCTGGCCCAGACTTTCTCACTCAGACGGGTCTTGGATGGTCTATCTGTGGCATACGCCTTCCTCGCCCACTCATTCACTGTTTCCAGCCTGCCAGACTTCTCCTTGGATGGCCAGTGTCCACTCCAGCACACACACAACTCATTCAGTGGGTTTTTGAATCTTAGCCTGAGGTTTAGAGCAGAGCTTTCAGGGTGGGGCTGTACATACGTGAATGTGGCTGAGTACGTATCCCCAGACACCTTTCATGCATGATGACACGGGGATGGCATCTTCATCATTCATCATGTGATGCCCGTGGCCTGTAATTAACTTAGGAGCACATTTCCTGGTTGTTTTTCTGACTTGAGGCGTTTTTGTTTCAATCCTAGGGCTGATTGCCATCAAGGACGCCCACGATATAGAGACCAGGCTTAACGAGGTGGAGAAGCTGCTGAAGATCATCATCAGCATGCCGTGTAAAGTAAGCGCGCCAGGTCAGGGCTGGGTGGGAGGTCGGGCACGTCCTGCCAGCTTCAAAGTCACTGATCTGCTTGCCCCCTTTGTCGTTTGCCTCTCTCTGGAGGTATCAGTCTGCAGGGAGGTGGGTGGTTATAACCAGGGGAAAGGAAGATTTTTGTGGGCTCCAGTGGCTCCATTTTTTTTCTCCCTGAGGAAGAAGTGGGAGTGAGGGGCCAAGGAGGTATTGAGTAGGAAGAGACACGGCCCCTCCGCTATGGTGGGCTTTGCTTTCTTGCCTCCGTGCAGAAGCCCACTGGCCTTGCTGAGGGCTTGAGAAGAGGACATGTGGGAGCCAAAGGGAGTGTTGGCATCAGCACCGGCAGGTGGCCTTTAAATGACATTCGCAAGCTTCGTGTGCAGTAGTGATGAACCTGTGCTTGAGTCGGGCAGACCACCTAACTCCTGTAAGCTTCGTTTCTTCCTCTGTGAATGGGGAGGGTCAACGCACTCACAGTGTATTGTAAAGTGAAGGGAGCTGTGTGTGACAGCTGACACTTACCAAGCATTCAGAAAAACTAGCCATTGTTTCCGTTCACCCCATTCTCCTTATCTCCTGGGGGCCTTGCATGTTAGCCAAGTGGGACCACTAATAACGAAAAGTTCAGTGACTGTAGCCTGTTCGCTGTGCTCTGTCCTGCAGGCTATCTGAACAACTCAGGGGTGTTGGCATCAGACGGGGCCATCTTGTGGAGCATTCATTTTTAGTAATTAACGTATTTCTCCCCAGTATTCTAGGTCAGAAGTTGTGCTCACCTTCTTTGAAAGATCTCCTCTAGATCAGGTGTTAAAAAATGACAATGTACACAAAATTCAACCCAACTCTCAAAGTCCAGTGAAAATATCAGGTAAGAGCTCCAGGGGCGGCTGGGGGAAAGTGCTGCCGTGGGTGGCTATGGTTTTCTAGAAACATTTCCAGTGTGTTGCCTGTGTGGTTGGACACACACCTTGCACCCTTGGGATCCAGAAAGACAATCCAACAGAATGCCGACGGTGGTGGGTGAGAGGCTGCCACCAGTTCTTTATGAAACAGTGTGCTTTCTGACAGTTGACACTCTTCCTACTGCCAAAGGGAGATATTTGGTGTATAAATTAGAACTTACTTAAGAAATAGTATAATGATGAAAACATTAATGAGGCATTGTGAAGCAAAATACTGGAATCAATAGTCTAGCCTGCTAAAATAAGATACTAGTTCACATAATGTGGCATTGAATTAGGTTCTTGGTGTTAGGGCAGCCAGGATCAAAAGGGAAACATCCAATTTAGGTATCATTAGCATTGATAAATTAAACTAAAAAATTAAAGAGGCAAAGTTGCACCAGTAAGAGCAAACTGTCAACTGAGCAGAGTGTCTGGCCAGCTCAGCTATTGTGTCAGGTTGAAAAGAAGGCGAAGCCTGGACTTGACCCTTTTGGGTAGCTCTCTAAGATCTGGGTTGCACGTGCTGTTAGGACACTATTATTTTTGCAGTACTGTTTTGGTGAGGTCTGCTGAGGAGTATTCGATAGAGAAAAGAGTTCTGGCCTAGGGGGTGTCTCAGGTATTGGGCTTCCCAGGCAATGGGCAGTCAACTTGTTTTTCTAAGACGTAGCATTTGAGTGCGGTCTTGCAGGAGCCTACCAGGTGGAAGGGAGGGAAGGCAGTTGTAAGACAAGATGCAGCCCAGCTAGAGGTGAGAGCCTACAGAGCAGCGGTTCTCAACCTTCCTAATGCCGCGACCCCTTAATACAGTTCCTTGTGTTGTGGTGACCCCCAACCATAAAATTATTTTCGTTGCTACTCTATAACTGTAATTTTGCTACTGTTACGAACCATCATATAAATATCTTTTTGTTTTCCGATGGTCTTAGGCGATCCCTGTGAAAGGGTCGTTCGACCCCCAAAGGGGTCGCGACCCACAGGTTGAGCACCACTGCTACAGAGCACCCTGATCTTAGGAAGGAGAGAAGGTGGGTGTCTAGCACTCCATTTCTGAATGGAGGAGGAAGGAAGGAAGAGGAGGACCGCAGGAACAGGACTCAGAAGGAAGCTGATGGAGAATCCGTAGATGAGAGGGGAGATGAGCCCAGCGGTGGCTCCTGAGAAGAAATTGGTGGTCATGGTGACAGGGAGAGAGAGAGGAGGACAAGTTGGGATGATGTCATTGGTATAAAAGTGTCCTTATTGAGTTCTGTGCTACAGCAGGGAGGAGAGTTTTAATTGTATGCTGGGTGACGTGGACAGAGTAGCCAGGTTCTGGGGACCTGGGATGGAAAATGCGCTTCTAGATGTGACTGTGTGTAAGCAGGATGGGTTTTAAGCCTGGGTTTGTCTGTCTGCTACTTTTCATACCTACCCACGGTAGCGTCCTGTGTATTCTTAGAACGAAGAGCAGGGGAGTTCCGGAGGCATCCTTAGCTGGTACGTAAGAGCAGTAACCTTCTTTATAGGTGAGTGCAGATGGCAGTCATTTATCCTGGTGGATGTCAGTGGACCCTTGTCTTGCAGGCTCAGAGAGGGCTTCAGGACCTTCACTGTCAGTTGTGTTAGGTTTTACCTGCTGTCACCTGGAGTGAGGACAAGCCTCTTTCCTTTAGTACACAGTGGAGGAGTCCCAGCACTGGTGACTCTGTTTTGCTTTATTTCTTTATGTTTTGAGCAATGGGAGAGCAAAGAGCAGCACGCTCTTTTCCGGGCCTGTGCTGGTGTCAGGAGCTGGACTGTTGGTTCAGGTTGGCCCCCCGAGTGTGAGAAGGACAGACTCCAGGTGCGTGGAGTTGCCTCTGATGGAGTAACCCCTAGAGTTCCAGAACCCGGAACATTCCCAGCCCGCTGTCTTAGTGTCCTGTTTTGTCGGTGACTTGGATAAGTGCATGACCATGTTTATCCCGAAGGGCTGAGGGTACTGAGATGAAGTTAACAGGGAGAACTGTAGAGTCCCATGCTGAGGTTTTAAATATGTTCTCTGTGTTTCTGTGAGGACTACAGACAGAGGTTTTAGCTTGTACTGCACACGAGCCTCAGTGAGGCCTTGCTTGCATGACCAGGGCTGCAGCATGCAGCTTTAGGAAGGCCGAGGTGGTGACCTCCTTGTGCCAATCAGGCGCCCAGGCCATCTGGGCAGCGTGCTCTACCCCTGGGACATTGCTGTGGGTGGGAGTGACTGCTGCCAGTTTTGGCTCAGTACAGAACACTTCGTAAAAAATGGGGCTGCCTAACAACAGAGTTTGTAAACACCTATCTGGTGCAAGCCTGTCTCCCAAAGCCTTAAGCCAGGTGGCCTGTGCGCGGTGTCCCTGCACAAGGTGGCAGGCTGGGGGAGTGCCTCTGGCACCCTTCCAGAGTTAAAATTCTCTGACTCTGGCGGGTTTCCCCCTCTTCCTCTGCCCTGATCGATTGGGCACCACGTCTGGGGATTCTCCCTTTGAAGCTCCCCAGCAGTCCTGTCTTCGCTCCTGGACTAGCCATTTCCCCCTCTGTCTGAGCGAATGCTTCCCTACATAAATTAGTGTGTAAACGTGCAAGCGTGAGGGAGTTCCCATGGGATGTAAGATGCACCCTCATTATTCACTGAGTGAGGAAATACATATCTAAAGACAGCAAACTATGGTAAATTCAAAAATACTTTTTAATGAAACTTATTTGCAGTACACCAACATCCCTTTGACAAAATAGTCCACACATGGGCAAGCCACGTCACTCAGTCTTGGTCCCTTATTTAGGGAGTTGCTAGATTTGGGGATCCCCAGGCTCTGAGCCTCAGGACCTGGAGAGCACCCCCCAAGAACATCCAACGTGTCTCTCTAAATCAGCCTCACCCTTTCCTCAGAATCTACCCTGGATACTGTTGTCATCCCAGAACTCGGACTTCCTGGGCTTGGTAATTTTCTCAAAACCTTATGCTCATACTAGGGCCCAATTTCCCTTTGTCATTCGATGCATGTCAGAGACTGGCTCACTCTAGCTTTTTGATTTTGACACCATAGCACCCTCCACGGCAGACCCTCAGCCTCGTCCTGGCTGGGCTTCGCTTGTTCTGTGGCGGCCCGTCTTCTCTCTCTTCCCACAAAGCCTGTGCGTCCGCTCCTATCCTGCTAAATCCCATTCATTGGTGAAAACGCCCTGGCCTGCTGTGACTCACCCCAACCCTTCCTCCTCTCCCCGCAGATTTTTTAATGCCTCCACATTCCGCTGATGTAGTATTTCAGGGGGCGGTGCTGCGGGGGGACAAACACTGGCCTCCCTGGCTGTGAGAGACTCCTCTTTACACAGGATGTAGGCGCGTCCAGCCTCTGAAAGCTCCTTCAGCCTCTTCTTTCAAATGTTGAGACTGTGTAGCTCCACTAGGTGGCGCCAGGCGCTAGTGGTGTGAGAACCACGCCAGGATTTGGGCCCACAGCAAGGAGTCAGGAAATACTGTGTGGCCTCTCAGGTGATGCTTTGAGTCAATACAACCTTAAACATTCTTCATCTTATATTAATCTAAATGATTATCAAATATAAGAAAACTTAAATTTACTTTTTTACACTGTGCCTGTGTCTGTGCAGCCTTAAAGGAAGTATAAACCTCATCCTTGATCTGGTACTTGGACTGATCAAATATCAGCACAGAAATCTGATTCTTTAGGTTTGGGGGGGCCTGAAAGTGAATTATAATTTCATTTTTCATTAACCAGGCATCTGTACAATCTCAATCTCAATTTTCACCGTAAGGGATAGTCCAGTTAGCCAGTTAATAAAATGGCATTGCCTTAGGTTTTCTTCAGTTGCTGGAGTACATTGAAAATATAATAGCAGGGCCGGCCAAGTGGCTCAGTTGGTTAAGAGTTAGCTTAAGAGCAGGAGCTCTGAGTAACAGGGCCACCAATTTAGTTCCCGCATGGGACAGTGACTTGCCCAAGCTGAACTGCCGCCGAGCTGCCAACAGGTGGCAGGATGGCTCAGCTAGTGAGAACACGTGCTCCTAGGAAGACTGCCTATTCAGTGGTGGGATACGCCCGCCCACAACTAAGACTGTACTCAGCACCTTGAGCTGAGCTGCCTCCCAGATGGCTCAATGGATAGAGCATGCTCTTAACAACAAGGCTGCCTGCCGGATTCAACTCCTGCATGGGATGGTGGCTACACCCACCCGCAACTAAGATGGGAACACAGCACCTTGAGCTTAGAGGCCATGAGCTGCCAATGGGCAACCAGATGGCATCTGGCGCCCTCCACAACTTAGATTGAAGAACAACAACTTGGCTGGTCCCCCTCCCCACTTCCCCAACACTGTTCTCCTCCCTCAATTCCCCAATTAAAAGAAAAAAGGAAAAAAAAAAAGAAAATATAACAGCAGAGAATTCAAAAGGGAGGAAAGCTATACTATGAATGCTTTCAGGACTGAGACTAAATGCTTAAAAAGAATATATGAATTAATGAGCTGAAGGACTGATGATATGAGGCATATGAAAACATGGCTGCAGTTTAAAAAAAAATCATCACTAGGCAAACACCACAAAAGTAATTCTTGCAGAAACAATCCATTGGTAAATGCTAGTGGGTGAAAGTTTGAGGAGAAATATGATTTGCATAGTCTCAATGCATATCCCCAAAGATATTTCTTAACCACCAAGAGAGTAACCTTACTTTGGAGAAACTGGCAGAAACCTCCTTACCCAAGTGATCCAGACTGACATCCTAGGAGCAGGACTATTGACATCACGCACCCCTGATACCATGCACCAAGGAGAATGCCGTGTCACTCTGCAGGATTCCTGCCCAGAATGCACCACCTCCGTCAAAGCTCACAAAAACATTAGACAAATTGAGGGGTAGTGGTAAAATAACTCACTAGTCCTC